CCCTTTCCCTGCCCCTGGCCCTGCCCCGACTCCACCCCATCTCCACCCCTGGCCCCGCCCCCATCCCCAAAGTCCCTGCCCTAACTCCACCCCCTCCCTGCCACTATTAGATCCCTTCCCCAAATCCACGCCCTGGCACCTCCTCTACCCCCAGCGCGCCGTGTTCCCCATTCTCCCCCCTCCCTCCCTGCCCTGCAAATCAGCTGTTTCATGGTGCAAGCACTGGGAGGGAAGGGGGGGAGGCAGAAGGCGTCAGCGTGATCGCGGAGGAGGCGGAGGTAAGCTAGAGCAGGGGGCGTGGGGTGGGGCCACTGGGAGCTGCCGGTGGGTGATGAGCACCCACCAATATTTTTCCGTGGGTGCTCCAGCCCCGGAGCACCCACGGAGTTGGCGCCTATGCCAGGAAATCTCTCTGAAGGGAACTTCAAGAAGGCCAATCTGGCCCAGAGACCAAGAGAAAATGTCATGTGTCTTTTGCTCTTAACACACGAATAACAATAGGAACAAAGGAAACCACATGGGCACAGCTGGGTTTCAAATAACTGTGTTTACTATATACAACATGCAAGGGATAGCTGCAACCGCTTGGCACTAAACCACAGAACGTAGTGAGCGCCACTAGATGGCTCACAAACTATTTAAAGGGATGCTACCCTATTTCTATACCCTACAACCCCCTGTGGTGATTATTTAAGGGTCTAATGAATTTCTCTTAGCATTATTACAAATCTGTTTTGTGTGGACACAGCATTGCAAGAGACGAACACGTTTTGTCCAGAGCCTCCATGGATGGTGGCAAAGTGTGAGCCTATGCAGAAGGGAGGAATATCTGCTTCCTAAAGCCAATTAAAATGTAGCACTTGTTTCTTTTCGCTGACACCTGGGTTTGGGGGGAGCCTTAATGCACAGATGCTCTTTGCAAAATAAAGACTGGGTGCGGCCACTACCATCTCACGCTGAGCCGCTTTTGAGCTTATTGGGCCTTTTTTTATAATTATTATTATTTGGCCATGAAATAACCCCACACAAACAGCAAACAGATTCAGTTATTTTTTTTTTTATAAAAGGTTTTTTAGATGCTGGCAAATTGCACTGCCTCTTAAGATTCATGGTGGCACTCCTCCGACTGACTCTATTACCCAATTTAAACACATAACAGAGAGAAGGTTTGAATGCCACCGTGTTAATATAGCGCAGGAGACCTCCGTGAGGTTGTTTGTTAAAAGCAAATTGTACCTGTTAAGGGCTGGGAAAGGGGCGCACCGCTGCTGTTAACTGCTTTACCAAATTGACACTGACTCATTCATTTCAAATGAAAATTGAAATGCTTTTGACTCTTTTTTTTTTTTTTTTCTTCCAGCAGCGAATTTGCTTTACTTAACACTAAGTGGGGATCATTTCTTCTGATTACTGAAAAATGCATCATAACTTTTGATTACGCTGCTATTAGGGATGCGGAGTGGCAATTTCTGCCGCTCAAGGCGAGAGCGAAACGCTGCTGGAGGATTCTGTGTAACCCTTCCCCATGGGGAACTCTGGGGAGGAGGCATAATGTGGCCTATGGATCAAATTCAGACCTAGGGAAGCAGGTGGGATGCCATGGCCTTCGGTGGAACTACTCACGAGTGTAAAGGTAGGCATGTGCTTAAGGGGACTTAATAGCCACATCAGTGAGGTGTTCTTGACGTGGGCTAGTGGCTTTTACAGGTTTATCTCAGTCCCAAACGGCAGCGTCCTCTACTCGTGACAGTTTTGGCTCCTTCCCCAGCTCTATCATGCTGCAGCATCTTCCTCAATTCTTCCAACACCTGCCACCCCTGTTCTATGCTAGGACACTTGCAGCATCCATACTATTCCAACTGTGGGACTTTACTGAGTCAAAACGGGCATGTTTTAATATTAATGATCACTAATAATATGGTGAGACAGCATGGTCCAGGGGAAAGGGCTGGGAGTCAGGTCTGAGTTCTGTTCCTGGCCTCTTCGTGGTCTGTGCCTCAGTTTCCTCCCCCCCGCACCCTTGACTGCCTTGTCTATTGAGACTGTAAGATCTTTGGGTGCAGTGACTGTCTCTTATTATGTGTCTGTACAGTGCTCTCAGTTGGGGCCTTAATACACAAAGTAGTAAATAACAAGAAATGCTTTTATTTCTAAAATGCCACCCTCTTTTCATCTGCCTCTCAGCTAATTAACACAATCAATTTTGAGTGGGATTGATGCACCACTGCTCTGAGACGCTAGCTGCAGGGATCAGTTGGCTCCAGCACTGCAGTGACCAGCATCCAGAGAGAGACAGAGAGATTCCACCTGGCACTGGCTACTGTGAGCCAGCCAAGATCCCCGGTAGCATCTGACAACACTGGTGACCCTGACCGCCGATCTGGTAGGTAAGCAAGCTGTCCGCTGTAACAAAAACCCTTTATTATGTTAACTAACTAGCTGTTTAAGTTGCATCCCACAGACCAAAAACACCAGAAAATGTCACACCCTGAAGACACCAGATAATATCAGTATACAGAATAAAAAAAAAAAACCCCAAACATCAAAAACAAAAAAATAAAGTGCTTTATAAATAAGAGACTGGTCAAATACACCTCTATCTACCATATATGGACAATTAAGTTAACAATCAGCTAAAAAACACTAGCTGGACCAGGATAAGCCATCATTTAATTTCAACTTGGTTACTATGTTAAAACAACTGTATTATTGCTGTACTACTGTATTATTGTTGTACTGTTGTCTTATTGCTGTATTGTATTATTGCCGTACAACATTTACAATGTGCATAACCTTGCTAAACTGTTTAACCAACACACAGGTAAAAATCAACAAACAAATGGCAGCAAACAACGTAAAGGCAAGAATAAAAAAACAATGTGGTAAACAAACAAAAAGTTACATAGTAACTACAAATTGGGTAAACACATTGCCTGTTAGTACCAGTCATAATTTGGGTCAGTAATACTGCATCCTAACTAAGGCACACGTTATTCAAAACAATCTTGTTCAGTGTCTAGGTACCGATACTACATCCTGACACAGCACTATTTAATAAATTGGTTACTGTCCATTCAGTAGGTTATCTGAAAGACAGCATCCATAAAAAACAACTGGATCTATGTCAACTACTGGTGTATCGCAGAGCCGTGCAACCAATAAAACAGAGAAGCTAGCCACTTCTATTTCCTGCCCAGTAAAGCTAACCAGAGGGTGACAACTAGCAGTAAGGGTAACCTATAACATGAATGGACAGTACTGGGTAGTAACTAATTACAATATATTTATATATGAAGGCCTCAGTAGTAGTGTGTCTACTCCAAATTTCTGTTTTACTTCTCATATACATAGCACTGTGGGACACACTATCACAATCCCTATCCCAATATTTCAAAACACTCAGCCTACTACTAATGATGAGACAGGTGATAACTGAAATTGCCCTAATAGGAGTGTGTTTCTATCTGTGTCACCAAAGTAAAAGGGCTAGAGTACAACACCAAACTGAAAAAACATGGTTATGCTTGAATATAAGGTGGTGTCATATGTACACATACATACTATACATATATGCCCATACACACTACAAATATATATGCCATATCCATATAATTCATATATATTAATTATTTGGAAGTGCCTCTAAGGCTCAATCATAATACTACATTCCTCAGTCATAGTCCCAGGCCTAACATTCCCAGGCCCACCATAAGGAACTAAATAATAATTAAATAATAAAATCTGTCTGCCAGTCATACAAGGAAATGTGCAGACTAAACAAACGAATGGGGCATGGGTGTATGAATGGTAAAATAAGATAACCACATAACAGTGTTTAGCCCACTGGGTTATCTTTAGTCCATGCATTATGCTTTTCTGGGACAATGGGTAAACATCCTCCCCGTAAAAAGACAAAAAGTGGGGGAATGTAGTAAGAGGAGGCCCTGAGAGATAAACCTTGGTATCAAAGGCCTAGTATGAGGCCTAAGGCCTGAACTAAAGTAATGGTCAAGACTTTGCTAACATAAAGCAAAGTTAAGCTGTGAGCCAGAGGCAGGCCCTGCTCACAGAAGCTGGCAAGGAAAGGGCTGATGCTGCGGAAAAAAAAAACATACCTAAAAGGTACTGGACACCAGATATCAGAACATACACTATACTGGAACATTCCACAAATAACATGGAACAGGCCGACCCATCCCAATGACAGGGGCAAAAGGGTAAAATAATGGATAGAGTTGTTTTAATCGAACCAACATGTACAAGGTGAGAGGCGGCACCTTACTACCTAGAGGGGTTGTACCTTGCTACGTAGAGGGGTTGACCTCAATACGACAGGAGTAATGTGTAATTTGTTTGTACCGGTGTATAAGAATGTATCCCTGGGGTGGTGTCTTTGTCCGGCCACGGGGGCAGTGGAAAGTCCCGCCACTGAGCCGGGTCCTTGCCAAAAGGCACTTTCTCGTAGTATGCCCTAAGTTAGGCTCAAAAACCTACAGGGAACTGCAATTGTATCCAAGGTCGCAATAAACCTACTCAACGTGATTTTGCATCTTACTAGACTCTGTGGTTATTGGGGGTTCTCTTCGGGTCTGCTGGGTCAGCACACAGAGGGAACACACGCATGCAGCCGAGTAATATCAACATAGAAAAAAGCAGAGCACCACACCGGTAGCATCTGATAACAGCTCGGACCAAAGGGGTAACAGTAACAACATTGCTTGTCTCATGACTAACACCTGGACCCTGATCCTGCACTGAGCTCCATGCAAGCAGAGTCCTGTACCCATGTACTGCTCAGGACCTGAGACTGGAAGCTCCTTGGAGCAAGGAATGTGTGTTCTGTTCCATGGCTTCTGTGAAGGGCCTAGGCCTCAGCTCAGTGCTTTGAAATAAATAATAATTTCATACCAAAAACACCGTTCAGAAAACAAGTTTGCCCAGTTGAAGTTTCCAAAGACAGTGCTGACAAAGATAAAGTTGCTTATGCAACTTGAATTGTCACTTGTGCTCTGTCTCTGGTTCCCAGTGATGTCCCCAGCTCCCTGGCAGCTCAGCTCCCCCCTGGACACCTGAGGGACAGCTCCATGATGTATCATTAACTCTGGAGAACCTTGTGGGGCTGTAGGCCCCACCCGTGGCCTGCCCAGTCTGCTGACCTTTGTCCAGTGTGAACCCTGGTTCCTGGGAGAGCCCATGGTGCCATGGAGATGGCTAAGCTTGCTTTCTGCACTGGAGAGGTTTGGTACTACCCATCTGGGGCTGGGTCAGAAGGCCTCAGAGATCCAGGTTAGGTTGTATGGAGGGAGGCAAAAATGAACAGAGGGGCCAGAAGCAGCTGGAACCTGTTAGCCTCTCCGGAAACCGGCCTGGAGCAGATAAAAAGAAGAGGAAGTTAATTGCTGGGAATGTCTGAAAAAGCCTTGTTGAATGAAGGGAGCTCCCTGCAGAGGCGCGGCTGCTGGATTCCATATGAGCTTGCTTTGCTTTGAGGAGAGCCTCTTTGAAGGCTTTGAGATCCATGTGCTCCAAAAATCAGAGGCTCTGACTGTATGCAAAGTTCTGTCGAATGCACAAAGTTAAACATCTGGAAAAAAAACTGAGAAGTTTTTTTTCTCGAATCCTTCCTTTATGGGTATGCCGAGGGGCAGCTGCTCTTTCGGGGAGTTAGGGCCAGTCTGCCCATGGCTGCCTGATGAAGGCCCCATGTGAGGGTAATTGACTGCCCCAGATGGCTGATTAGTAAATGTGCACATGGATCTAATAAAGGTTACCAGAGATCAGTTAGAGGGAACTCCAAAGGAAGACAGGAGGTTCCTGAGGAGGGGAGATCTCTAGATAAGCCTGAGTCAGGGGGCTGAACAGGGTGCCTAGAAAGTGAGCTCTCTGGGGAGCCTGCCAGGATAGGAAGCCTATAATAGGAGCTCCTGGAGAGGGGAACCTCCTAGACAGAAGATTGCAGCATCAAGAAGGTCTTGTCTCAGCCAGGGGTCCCCCAGACACTGGCTGGAAGCCTGGCCTGGCAAGGATCACCCACTGTCTCTGGAGAAGTCTCAGAGAACAGACCTCCCAAGACTCCAGGGAAGAATGTTACTCTGGTAGGGGTAAAAGTAACTGGGTAAAAGTAGCAGGTAAAAAAATTCAGTGTGATAGTTGAACTGACAGTGTCCCTTTAACATAGAATCATAGAAGATTAGGGTTGGAAGAGACCTCAAGAGGTCATCTAGTCCAACCCCCTTGGTCAAAGCAGGACCAACCCCAACTAAATCATCCCAGCCAGGGCTTTGTCAAGCCTGACCTTAAAAACTTCTAAGGATAGAGATTCCACCACCTCCCTAGGTAACTCTTTCCAGTGCTTCACCACCCTCCTAGTGAAATAGTTTTTCCTAATATCCATCTTAGACCTCCCCCACTGCAACTTGAGACCATTTCTCCTTGTTCTGTCATCTGCCACCACTGTGAACAGCCTAGCTCCATCCTCTTTGAACCCCTGAGAAATGACCAGACCTGTTAAAGGCAGAGAGAGATGTGGTCTAATGGTCTGAGTACAGATCTGGGCATCAGGAACACCATCTGTCTATCCAGCCTATCGATAGGCATTCCTAATGCACTCATCACCATATCATCTAGGTGCTGTGTACGATACATATAAGGACAGAAATAGATGTGACTTATTTCAGGATTTAAACTCTTCACCCCTACCCCATCAGAGCTGCTGTTACTTCAGTTGTTGACCTGTTCTAACTGAACGTTATTGGACCAACTTACTTAGGGGCAGATTCTCCATCACTTGACACCTTTGACTCAAGGTTGGATGCCATTCTAAAAGACATGCTCTAGCTCTTTCAGAAGTCTTGATGCTGGTATTATTGGGTGAAATTCTATGGCCTGTGTTAGGCAGGCGATCATAATCTATCTGTTTTAGGTACTTCTATGGCCCCATTACCCCAGTATCTGAGTGCCTCATAATCTTTTACGTATTTATCCTCACAACACCCCTGGGAGGCAGACAATGCTGTTACCCCTATTGTACAGATGGAGAACTGAGGTATGAGACCCTAAGACCCAGATCCTCAAAGGTATTTAAATGCCTAACTCCCATTGACTTCACATCTGGGCATCTGATCTGATTTCAATGGGAGTTGGTTACCTAAATATCTATGAGGAGTTGGGTCTAAGTAACTTGCCCAAGGTCATCCAGGAAATATGTGGTGGAATAGAGACTTGAATGCAGCGCTCTAACCACTGGGCCATCCCGTCTCTCCAGTGAGCCTTTAATGGTCTCTTTGGGCCATAAAACCTATTGCTCTGTTTCCAGACAGGCTTTCTGTGTGACTCTGCGCAAGGCATTTTCAGCCTCTCTGCATGGTGCTTTAGTTTGCATGTGTGTAAAATAGGGGCTAATGATCCTTGCCTACCTTACATTGTTGTGAGGGGCAGTTCATCAATGTGTCTAGCAAGATCTCTGCTATGTAAAGTGCTATAAGGGCTAAGGACAATTGGAGGCATAGAACATCCTGTGCAGTCAGGTTCACTGAGGTTGGTAGACCTGGGGCTAGTCCACGCCTGGTTTTACACAGGTGACACATGGTCCAAAGCAG